TAGTTTAGTAGAACATAGTGATTTCATCCATTTGTTCTGACCTTACACATCGAACGTGCGGCTGGGGGGTTGTCAGAATGCTCATTCAGGCCAGAGCCATGAAACGAGGCGTCTAAACATAGACAAGAAGGAGGTCCCATGGGTCAGGAGGCCCTGCTGAGCCCAGATTCTCAATTTTCCTGTCCAGGCACCAGACATGTGAGGACACCACTTCCTGAGGATGCCAGTCCCCAGCTGTCAAGTCACCGCCAACTTGTCATTAAAAATCTGGAGATGAAAAAAAAACGTCTGGAGATGACGGAGCCAACACAAACTGGCCCTGCTGGGCAGCCCGACGTCTGAAGGTAAGCGGGAAAATGCTGCTGCAAAATCACACCAGCACACCTCGATGAAGCCAAACTATTAAAATGTGAAGCCACTGGTTCTTGACGTGTCTTCCGTCCAGCTCTACACCTTTCTGAAGACGGTGTTTCCACCGCTCTATACCCCTCCCCCCAAAGGGTTCTGTGCTCTCCAGTTCACACCATGTCAACATGCTCTCCAGTTCACACCCGGTCAACACGACAGGCTGCTCTTCCTCGTGGGGGTCCAGTCTCGATGTTCTAATAGAGTTGGGGGAACCAGAAGGGGTCTGGAGGGGCTGAGGTCAGGCTGGAGAGTGGATGGGTAAGCGTTCCCAGTGAAATTCTCACCGGCAGCCCCTGGTACGCTCAAAGAATGAGCAGGTAGGAGGTCATGGTGGGCAACAGTTCCTCCGTCCAACCTTTCTGGCCAACAATTCCTCGGTCCAACCTTTCTGGCCTTTGGCTCACCCAGGAAGTTTTCCATTTTCTTAATTTTTTACATACTAAGCCTTGGGACTGGCCTGTGTCCTTGGGAAAAAATCGATCTAGATTACCCCTATGTGATCCTAAAAGATGATCACCATAATTTTCTGAGCTGATCTCGCCGCCTTGAATGACCCAGGCCCAGCACACCTCTTAGAAGCCACTGTTTTGATTGGACCTTTGAGTCTGAAGGCCCCTCAGGAGATGAAGATGAGCACGCTGCAGAGAGGCCTTGTCTGTGGCCATACGTTGATTGCAGGGATACTGTAAGCACGTCTGTTTGCAACAAACCTGTGTGCGGGGGAACTGGAATCCTCAGACCCTTGTTGACTTACCCTCCCAGAACCCATGAACAGGACACAATGCTTGTTCTTTCACACCACAACATCCGGGCGGTTTGTTACCCATCAGTAGAAGCATGCCAGTGCGCATTTAACAAGGGTGATCTTTAATGGTATTGCCACCTTCCCGTGCAGACACTATCACGCTGTTTCTCTATTTACATCACCATTAGAATGTTTACAAGAGTGGCTTCTGAATATAAAATGAATGGTGGTATGCGATAGTATGTGATAGGTAGGCTCATTGTGCCAACCTGCCAATAAGCCAATAGGAACACATGGGATTAATCAAGTCGCATTTTGATTGAAGGGCAAAGAGATAAATGGCTTGGCAAGGCCCAGGCCACTCTCTCTTGATCTCTAATGACTGGACCAGTGTGAGGCTGCTTTAGCTAGTTGTCTGCCTCAACTTGTGAGCTACACTACCCGTGGGACAGCCAACCCATGCATATGTAGCTAGAGCTTGAGGTTCCTTCGAATCCTGCTTTACCACACTGCTGGTGCTCACATCATCACTTGAGCTTGAGATTGGCAGATCCTGTCGTCTTGCATAGCTAGAGCTTGATATCCCATCACGGCCTGCTTCACTGAGCTCCAGGGCTACTGGTTGTTGGAGACCTGCCCTGCTGTTTGCTGCCTGTGAGCGGACTCTGCCTGCATTGTCCAAGGGAAGACTCAACTGTCTGCTTCCTTGACCTAGAACCCAGCAGCCTTTGAGTTGAAGGACTTCCGGTATATTAACTGTTCCACGGAAGTGAGTTGAATTGAGCCCTCTGTGCTGCTGTGTGACTAATTAATTAGTTGTTATATTCCTTCGTGGCTGTGTGTGTGTGTGTGTGTGTGTATATATATATATATATATATCGTGGCTGTGTGTGTGTGTATATATATATATATATATATATGGCTCTGTGTGTTATATTCCTTCGTGGGAACACAACTACACATTTATCCTGTGATTCAACTGTGACAATGCCAGTTCATAAACCACATACAGAGCTTTCCTTTCCCAGTTGGAGACTATTTGAAAGTGAACGTTCTGATATAAACACTAACTGTGAACGCACAATCATGCTTGGGGTCCTGGTGTGGTTTACTCATGTGAGAGGATGGGTTGAATACTTCTGGTTCAGTGGTGCCCAGCATCAACATGGAAGTACGTATTCATACTCAGCCGTTCTGAAAGGCCCCCCTGTGGTCATTGTTATTATTATGATCTTGAGTATCTGCAGGGTTCCGTGGGGGAGGGGAGGCGGGGGTAGCAAGGTGGATGGGAGAAGCTGAGTCTCACCTACAAAGGAAACTGGTAAATGGCTAGTGAGTGAATTAAAATGCCCCCCAGAAAGCATTGATGCTCACAGAGCCCAGAATGCCTCCTGGCCTTACATTTTCCTAGTAGGTCACTTATTGGCTTTTTTCCTGCCCAAACTTTACCCAGACTCCCTAGAATACAGACGCATCTCCTCAAGGATGCACCCCACCCTCCCAGGGCAGTGTCATGTGTGCTCAGATAAGCTCAGCAGCACAAATCATTTTCGGGGGAGGAATCAAGGGAGGAGGAATCCTGGTGATGGAGTGGTTATGACTTGAGCAGCCATTCCATGGTGGGCAGTTTGAAGTCACCAGTCACTCTGCTAGGGAGCTGGAGGCAGAACTAGGGTTGTCCCTCTACATGCCAAAGCCTCCCTCCCCCATTACAGAAAGTTGGAAGCTGCTTAAGGCTAGAGGGCATGCTCACATTCAGGTCTTTGAGACAGGAAGCCAGTACACCTGGGTGAGCCCCAATCTAGGCCAGGTGGGCTCGATTCAGCCAATGGGATCAACCAGTGCTATTGACCACGCCTCCCCATGGGGCCCTGAAAAGCCAGTTTTTCTTTCTCCCGGCTGCTACACACAGTTCAGCCCGGCTGTGCCTCGTTCTCTCACACTTGTGTTCCTTTTACTGTAACACCTGAAACTACTTCTATCCTTTTTAAAGAATTCACTTGGATCACAAACCAGGCTTCAGCGTGAATTCTTTCTCGCTCGAAGCCAAGGATCGAGGTATTTCCCACCTGGGGAAATCTAACAACTCCTCTGGAAAAAGGTCTTTCTACTCGCGCAAACTGTTACAGTCAACCAGAGCATGTACACGGGCACAGAGAGAGCTGGAAACGGAATCTGGGACAGATAAGCCCCTCAGGACCAGTAATGAGAGTATGGATTCCAGGAGGGGAAGGGGAAGGGGAAGGGGAAGGTGCGGCAGAAATGGGGCATCAATCACAGTGATCCCCTCCCCGGGACAGACAACAGGAGACGTTGGACAGTGTATGACATGAAAAAACAATCACAATTTATAAATGATCAAGGGTTCATGAGGGAGGGGGAAAATGAGGAGCTGATACCAAGGGCTAAAGAAGAAAAACGTTTTGAGAATGATGAGGGCAACGAATGTACAAATGGATTGTGATCAGAGCTGTATGAGCCCCCAATAAAATGATTTTTAAAAAACACCAATTACAGTCTCAGAAGGTTTGTTTTCTTTTAGAACGGAAGGAGCCTTACACAATCAGCTACAATCCAAAAGGCCCGCAGTTCGAAACCACGGGCTGCTCGGAGAAAGGCCAGACTTTCTACTCCTGTAAACAAAGTCTAGACAACGCACAGAGGCAGTGCTGCCCTGTCCTGTGGGGTCACTGAATTACCATCGACTGAGGGCAGTGAGATGATAAAGGGAAACGGGCAGTCCCATCTCCTTAAGGCAAAGCATTTCTCACACAGCGGCCGCGTGTGAGCCGTCTCCAGCGACACCGCTAACGCGTGGGCCCGAGGAGCCCCCCACACGTTTGGGAGAACTGGGCAGGGTCCCAGAGGACATGGGGGGCTGGGGTGTTCCCGACAGACAACGCACGTTTGGGGTGGGGGTGGGGCTCCGCCTTGCTCGAGGTTTGATGTACAGGGAGCGAGTTTTTAAACGCTTTCCCACTGGATCCAACGATTGCTTACTCGGTGAGGGTCGCCCTGCATCGATCTGTGTTTTGGAAAATGGCTGGAGGGCTCGTGGCGGACGCGCCCTCGTCCCCATCCCGTCCGGTCGGTCGCGCGGCCTGGGCCGAGCCGCTCGGCCGCCGCCAGCGCGGCTTCCGGGCCGCGGCGGGAGACGGCGCCCCCTGGTGGCCGCCGGCCCGCCTGCGCAGGCGCAGGCCAGAGGAGGCGGGGCCAGTCCCAGAGCGCGCTCAGCGGACCTGGCGCCCCATCCCCGCCGGCGCGCAGGGTCCCGTTCCCTGGGCCGGCCTCTGGGGAACAGCTTCTTTTGCGGACGGGACTTCATCCTCTTCCACTTTTCCTGGAAACACCACTGGACTTCCCTCTCCTCCTCCCAGCCCCTCCCCCTCCCCCTGTTCCCCCTCATCCTCCCCCCTCAGGCCTGGTGGAGTTTGAGGGTCTCCTACGCCCTTCCCCACCACGTCTCAGGCACACCGCCCTTGGTGGAAGGATGAGCACATGATCCACCTTTGTCCAATGAGCGAAGGGCCCCGAGACTTTTTTTTTTAATGGGTGGCAGGTGTTCCCTTCCCACCAGAGCCCATCCTGACCCGGGGGCCGCGGGTGACGGCTGTCTCTGGTTGCGAAGGAGGCGGCTGGAAAATGAAGCGGACTCGGAGGAAGCGGCTCTGAGCGCAGGGAAGAGCATGTCCCGTGGAGAAGCAGAGGAGCAGCCGTCGCGTGAACTCAAGTCTCCTTTCTGTGGCCAGTGGATGCCCGGCCATAATGCCTTTGTACCTGCCACCCTCCAGCCTCCCACCTCAACGTATCCCTGTCGCTGCTTACATCTTCAAACTCAGAGGCCACGTTAATCAAAACCATCTTTATTATTTAAAGAGCGTGGTGCAGCCAGGGGCACCTCTCTGGCGTTCCCACACGGCTGAAAACTATTTACATGGGTGCCAGGAGGGTGAGACTTGGGTGGTCCCAGGGTTGAGTGGGCCCGCCACTGTGGAAGAGGGGACCCCGAGGGAGGGCATCCTTGAACTCGTGGGCTGCGCCCAGGAAGAAAAATGTTCCTTCTCAGGTCCAGCATGGGGCCCACAGTCTGCTGGAGCCACATGGATCAACTCAGGCCCGGAGGCGTGGGCAGTGAGAATTCACGCGTCAGAGCTGGGTCACCATGCCAGTGGCTTCGGAGTGAGTCTGGGGAAAGAAGACCGGTGCTTCCGAGGTCTGAGAGGCTCCTCAAAAGTCCCACAAGGAACCCTCCCTCCCAAGAAACTCTGGAGCTTCTAGGCATTTCCTCCAACTCTCAGACTCTATCCCCCATTAGATCGGAGCCCTGGCTGGGCTGATAATCCTGCTAACCACGAAACCAGCAGGTTTGAAACCACCAGCCTCTTAGAGGGAGAAAGATGAGGCGTTCTATCCCTGTAAAGAGTGCCAGTCTCGGGAGCGCACAGGGGCAGTTCTGCCCTGTCCGGCAGGGCCGCTGTGAGGCAGCATCAACGATGGCAGGGAGTTTGACTTGGGCTTGACCCTTTCGAGGTCCAACCATGCCCACCCATCGGGAAGTAACTTTCACCTTTATGGCCTGGAAGATCCACTCCCGGAAGTCACCGACTTTCGTATAGACACCTGGCTTCTGTGCCAGGGCACAGCCTGTGCCCCAGCTCACAATGCCACACAGCCGCCAGCGTGATGTCCGCAAGATACTGTCCTCACACACGAAGGGACCGCCACTGTCACCCTGGGGGGAAGAGAGGAAGCCTGGCTCGATGCTGAGGTGCCCGGCCAAGAAGGCCCTCCCAAGATGCCCTGGGCTGTAGTCTTGAATCTTCTGACCCCCAGATAGGGAGCCCAGCCACCCAGTGCCCTCTCCCCCAGCGGCAGGTCCAGCAGCTCCCCATCTCTAGTCTCTCACCTGGCAGGCATCAATGCCACCCTCGAAGTATCCGGCACAAAACATCTTGGGCTTGATCTGACTCCCATAGAAATCAGGGCCATTGCAGATATCATTGCTGATTATGGGGACACGGGCCTCCTGGAGTACCCCAGCCTGTTGGCCTGAGGGCATGCGGACAAGGCTGACCAGATCTGGTAGCATCTGTAACCCCCTTCCCGCCTAGGGCCCACCCCCAGGCCCTGAAGGGCCTAAAGTCATGCACCCAGCCCAACTGTCCCCCCAGAGGCTCCACAGGCCTTGGTCAAGGACTGGCCAGAGCGCTGCCTCACCGTAGTACTGTGTGTTGCCCCAGCCGGTCACTGTGCAGATCTTGCCCTCGACCAGGGGCTGGCCAGCAGCTGGGAGGCACACAGGCTGGATGTATTCTGGGGAAGAGACCATGCTGGTCCAGCCCCTGCTGGCCTGTCCCCCAAGGTATAAACACCCTGCCAGCTGCCTCTGCACGCCCCAGTCCAGCCCCCGTTCTGCTTTTTAAAACAAGAGTCAAAACAGGCGCCTGCTTAATCGTAGTGGACTCTTCGCACATCATGTCCTTTCGTCACGTCTCAGTCCGAGCAGAGCTTATTGTGATCCCGTTTGACAGAGGAGGGGAGTGAGGCTGAACCCCATGAGGAACTAAACAACAGCCCAGTTAGAATCTGCACAGAGAGTCACCCACCCCAAGAAAACCTCATGCGAAGAACAGGGTGACCAGGGCCCATTTCCTGAGGCTGTCAGTGCCAGCCAGCTAGGCACTAGGCGCTCACCCAGCTGTCATCCCAACCCTCCCCTCCCTGCCCTGCGGTCCACTCTCTAGGAAGGTGAGAATGGCCCCTGTGGGTTTCTGAGACTGTCATTCTTGACGGGAGTCCAGAGCCTCATCTTTCTCGGAGCGAGCGGTTGGTGGCTCCCAACTGCTGACATGTTAGCAGCCCACCAAGCTTCCACCTCCATGCGACAGAGGAGAGAGCCTGAGGCCCAGGGCGGTGAAGCCAGGCCACACAGCTGGAAACCACTCCCAGGATCCAACCTCTGCTGCGGTGCCTCTCACACCTGCCCTGTTCCCACCCTGTCCACCCGGGGCCCTCACTTAGCACTGTTCCACTCCCTTCCCTCTTCGCACTGAGGGGAAAGGGTTTGTCTTGCTTCCGGTTTCAAGGAGCACAGGTACCTACACTCCCCAAAGTGGAGAACAAGATGGAGGGTCATTACCAAGAACAAGGGGAGTGTCGGCACCCAACAGTAATGGCGCCTTCCCTCGGCCACAAAGCCTGGGCCAGCCGAACGAGAAGGCACTGCTCCGGGGCTGGGACTCCAATTGCTGCCTCTTCCCACCTGAGGGACTTGGGGGTTTTAATTGAACTTCCCCTTGTGGGCCAGGAAGATCCTGCAAGCAGCCCCAGGTGGGGATTGCTGGAGGAATAAATGCATTCCCCCTGGGGACTGACTGCCGAGAACAGTGCCCAGAGCCCAGGAGGCACGCCCAGCGCTGGGCTTCCTGACCACGACAGCAGCTGACTGTTAATCATGCTATTACGTAGCGTCTGACTTTGTGGTTGTCACTGCGATGATGTCATTGCTGTGACGGGAATTGGCAACATGATTTTTATTATTGTTATTACACTGGGTCCTGCTGATGGTTGGAGGCTCAAAAAAAAAAAAAAAAGGATCTCATAGCCAGACTCTTCGTGACCCTATCAGACTGGACAGAACTACCCCTCTGAGTGTCCTAGACTGTAGCCATTAACAGGGGGAGAAAGCCCCTTCTTTCTCCTACGGAGGGGTGGGTGGGTTTGAACTTTGGGCCTTTCTGATCACAGCTCAGCACCTAACCACTAAGCCACCAGGGCTTTTCAAGGCTCAGACTAGCCAGCTCTTAATCCACCAGGGCCATGAGCACCTGCTGGCGGGTGGAAGACACGAGGGCCCGAGAGGTGGTCCTTCTCATTGAAACCAAGGAGAGCCGCTCCCAAGACCCACATCGGAATGGCCGTTAACATTCTCTCTCCCTCATTGTCTTTTCTTTCCAGTTTTCATTTAATTTTTAGGTACGATTCTTAAGGAAGTACACGAGGGGGCTTCCAAAAATTGGGGAGGGAGAAAATGTGTGATCTTTTCTCCCTTTCTTTACTTAAAAAAAAAACCCCACACTTTTATTGTGAATGAGGTGAAGGCGTGCAGGGAAGAGCATCATTTGTGCACGCGGGTTGTGTGGACGAGTTCACCACGGCCGCCCCCTCGGGAGAGCACACGGATTCCGTGTCCCCTGCCCTGCGTTTCTGTTTCCGTTCCCCTGCTCTCCTCACCTAGCCCTCTGAACTTTGCCCTCGGGTAAAGGCTGCCCTTTTGATCTTAGACGTTGGATGCGTCTAACACGGTGGGGGCAAGGGGCAGGGGTGAGTTCAGTTCCAGGCCTGAGAGGTGACTAAGGGGCACCGTCCCGGGGTTCCCGCCAGTCCACTCCCTTTTCATCCCATTTCCCCGTGGAGCTCATCCACAGAAGCGTACAAGTCCATGGGTCTCAATGCAGTCAGAGAGGCACCGCCACTAAGTGCTTGAGAACATTTTCTTTCTTTTTTTTTTTTACAGGGGAGAGCGCCAACGCAGTCCCCCACGACCACAAATGATGCAGTCGAGTTTCCCACATTTGGGGAAATCACAGGGGTCAGCACATCCGGAGTGCAATGGATAAGCCTCGCCCTGGGAAAACCACCTTCGTGGTCATGGTGTCTCCCCTGCCAGGTAAGTATTGAGAACATTTTCATCAAGCCCCAAAGGAAACCCTGCCCTTTAACTACTCGTGCCAGCCCCAGCCCTCTAACCCACCACCACCTCAATTCCGATGCATGGCCACCCTACAGGACAGGCTAGACCTGCTGGGGGGTGGGGGGTGTCTCTGAGACTGTTCACTCTTTACAGGAGGTGAAAGCCTCTGCTTTCTCCAGACCCCTAGCCCTCATCTCCCATCTGTCTCCACAGATTTACCTATATTGTACATTTTATTAAATGAAATTATGCTTCTTCCGCTTGGCATCAAGTCTTTAAGGCTCTTCCACGCGGCATCATGAAGCAGTACTTCGTTCCTTTTTATTAATATATATGTGTATGTATGTGTGTATGTATATATATATACATATGTATGTATATATGTATATATATATATATATATATATATAGGTTGTCAGGTGCCCCAAGGTCAGTTATGACCCATAGTGACCCCGTACAGGACAGCACAAAGCACTGTCCTGTCCTGCGCCATCCTCACAGTTGCTGCGGTAGCGGAGCCAGTTGTGGCCGCCGCTGTGTCCATCTATCTGGTTGAGGGTCTCGCCTCCTTCCCTGTCCCTCCACTCTGCCAGAGACTGGTCTCTCCTCACAGTGTGTCCACAGCATGTAGGACGGAGTCTTGCCATGCGCGCCTCTCAGGAGCAGTCTGGCCCATACTTCTTCCAAGACAGATCAGGTGTGTGTGTGTGTGTGTGTGTGTGTGTGTACACATCGTATACCACATTTTGCTTATCCATCTTCATCAGACCATGGACACCGGGGTTGAGTCCACCTTCTGGTCATGAGAAATGCTCCTGGGAACATTCGTGCACACATTGTGGTTTGCCTCTCTCGGGAATGTAACGCGGATGGGAAACCCTGGGTCCTGTAGTGATTCTATGTCGACCTGTTGGAGGACCTGCCAGGTTAAGTGCACCAACCATTCCCATCTAGGGCCTAGCTTGTGCCCCAGGAAGAAGAACGAGGCTTTCTACTCCTGTGAAGAGTTACCGTCTCAGAAACCCCCAGAAGCAGCTCTACCCTACCCTATAGGGTCAGCATAGCGTCCTGTCCTAGGTCTATGGCCACTCAAGTCCCTCCTCCTCCCCCTCCCAGGCACAGCGGAACCACGTGTGCCCTCCCACACCCCTGGCTCTCTCTTCTGGCCTCTGGCGTCCCTGGGCGCGTGCTCAGCCCCAGCCTTACCTGTGAGGGGCAGTGGGCTGGACAGATGGACAAGGGCGATGTCGTTGCTGTTCTCCTCGCTGTTGGAGTCGAGGAAGGGGAGGTAGCCCCCGTGGTAGACCACCGCCTGCACCCCCAGCTGCAGCCCATGAGGCGAGGCCTGGGCCACCGTGCCCGCAAACACCTGCCATCTAGACAGAATCCGGTTCCGCCTAGCCGGAAACAGGAGCGAAAGGTGGTAGCGCCCTGAACACAGCCTCCCCTCCCCCACACCCGCGCGGTGGGTGACACTCACTCCGGGAAGCAGTGGGCGGCCGTCAGCACCCAGTCTCTGGACAGTAGGGACCCCCCGCAGAGGTGTGCCCCGTCATAGTGAAGGCTGACTTGCCACGGCCACCTCCCCAGGCTGGCGTCCTGGCCTCCCACGATGCGGTCCACAGGCAGCTTCCTGCGACCACAGTCTGCAGGTGGGACATGGGACAGTCAGGGGCTGGTGCAGGGACCAGACACCAGTGCCAGGCTCCTCCTGCCTGAAGGGGACTCAGAGGACACGGCCCACCCTAGGGACATGAGGGGGCATACAGCCCCCCCTAGGGGACATACAGTGGTTCTCAACCTTCCTGATGCCGCGACCCTTTCATACAGCTCCACATGTGGTGGTGATCCCCTAATCATAAAATTATTTTCATTACTAATTCATCACTGTCATTTTGCTACTGTTGTGAATCAGGCGACCCTGAAAAGGGTCGTTCGATCCCCAAAGGGGTGGCAACCCACAGGTTGAGAACTGCTGGTTTAAGGGGACACAGCCCCACCCTGGGGGCCTGAAGGGACACAGCATCATTCTAAGGTCTGAGGAGATACAGCCCCACCCTGAAGGGACACAGCCCAACCCTAGGGCTTTGAGGGGACACAGTCCCATTCTGGGGGTCTGAAGGACATCACCCCAACCCCCCCTTGGAGACTGAGAATTCTGGATTTCAGATTTTACCTTGGCAGATGGCTGTCAAGAAACGACCCCGGGGACAGTCGCTGTGTGAGAGACAGGGTTTTAAATTGCAGCTAAGACAGGTGGAAGGAAATGAGGCAGCACAGGTGGGGTCGTCTCGGGGGCCATCGGGGTCTGTAGGAGTGGCGGGGTGTCCCCACCTGCCCGCGACCCTCCTTACCACACAGAGATGACCTCGAGCAGCCTCCGGGCATGGGGCAGCCTCCCCTCATCAACGCAGAAGAAGCCCAGTGTGCCGTTGGTGCCTGCCATCCGCACGTCCAGCTCCGAGTGGGCCAGTGCCCTGGGCAGGGCAGGGGTCAGGCCTGTCCTCCCACCCCTCCCAGCTTGCCCCCAGCCCGGGCCGCCCAGTACCTGAGGAAGCCCATCTCCTCACAGCCGAGGCCGGCCACCCTGGCGTTGGAGCGGGAGGAGCACAGCAGGCGCCACGTCCCTTCCGTCTGGTCGAACACCGTGAGCCGCGCGTCCGCCGGGCTGACCTGCACTGCAGGCAACAGGACGGGGCGCCTGCATCAGCACCACCAGCCGCAGCGCCCCCAGCGCCTCACCTGTGCTCCAGCCACGGGCTTCTACTCCCGAAACCCAACGGGTCAGTGGGAGCCCTCACGGCCCACCCCCACCCCTGACCCTGGTTCCACTCATCACCATTCGAGGTTTCTAGAGGGGCCTGTCGTTCACTTTGTACCAAGGACGGGCGCCCCCAGGACACTGCCCCCACCGGGCACCACTGGCTGGTCTTTGTCCAGGAGCCCCGGAAGTCATAGGAGGGGGAAGAACCCTGCCTTCCCAGCCGCGTATCCTAAAACGTGTGCGGCCGTAGCTGCCGGGGCTTCTTCAGCCCAGCGAGGAAGAAGGGACGCCAACTTGGAGGACAGGCCTGAGGGATTTCTGACCCTTTTTAAAACTCCTGGATGCCGCCAGGCCGGAAGTTCGCCCAGGATGGTTGGCTGGCCATTTCCAAGGGGTGAGCCACAAAAGCGTCACTGAGCAGGCAGCAGGTGAGCAAGGACCTGCAGGGGTGATGTGCACAGTGGAGGGGGCAGGGGGTGGCCAGCCTGGGCAGAGGGGAGGCTGGGCACGTGCCTGGTGTACGAGGAGCAGGACCCTGAGCTGAGGCGGGGTGGGAGAGAAACTGCCTCAAAGCAACCAGAAGACAGGGCAGAACCACTCCTGTGGGTTTCCAAGATGTAAGTAAGCCTCCTCTTTCTCCCATGGAAGGGCCGGTGGTTTCGGTGAGCAGCACCCCTGGGAACCCACCACCATGACGTGGTAGGCCTTGGGCTTCCACCTGCAGTGGGGTGCAGTCAGAGGAGGGCCAGGGCTAAGGAGGGGCCTGGTGTGACTCAGGCATTCACAGGGTGCAACAGATTGGGGGCAGAGTGCGGGAGGCTGCAGTAATGGTCCAGGTAGCAGAGAGTGGAGACTGGACCAGGGTGGGGGCCAACTGGAGGGGAGAAGAATCCCAATTCTGGATAGATATGCTATAAATTCAAATCACTGCCATCAAGTCAATTCCAACTCATAGGGGCCCTCTAGGGCAGGCAGAACCACCCCTGTAGGTCTCTGAAGCGGGAACTCTTTACAGGAGTAGAAAGCCTGGTCTTTCTCCCAACAAGGGGCTGGTGGTTTTGAACTGGTGATCTTGTGGTTAGCAGCCCAACCAGCAAGCACTACACCACCAGGGCTCCTAGGATAGATTCTGTAGGCAGAGCCAAAAAAGCTTGCTAACAGATTGGAAGGAATGGGAGTGGGGGGAAGGGAGGGAGGGGAAACACATGGCCTAGAGGTGACAGGCCTGGGACAGAGCAAATATGGAGAGAGGGGACCAGGGGTGGGGGGTGGGGTGAAGAGGGGCCTGGGGGAAGTCAGCTCTCACTCTCTTTGATCATTTTCTCATGCACCTCTGCCACCAGCTCACTTTGACACCACTGGGTGGGTGGGTAGGGGGGGCACACACTGAGGCCACACACAGACTGCGTGGTTCTCTTTGGCCCCACCGATCTGGACAATGAGAAAAAGGCCTTCCAGGAAGGACCTATTGATGGCTACCTGTAAGCCAGGTGCTGAGCTACATGTGCTCTCTATCCTGCCCCACCCCCAGGAACCAGGGCTGGCCACACACCAGTCTCAACCACCCCCAAAGCCCAGTCTCCGCCCCATTTTCCAGATGAGATGCCAAAGTCCAGAGACGCTAAAACCACGCTCAGTGCCATCGAATCAATGCGGACCCCTAAGACCCTACAGGAGAGGGTAGAATTGCCTCTGTGGGTTTCCCAGACTGTAACTCTTTACAGGAGTAGAAAGCCTCGTTTTACTCCCACAGACCCTCTGGCAGTTTCCAACTGCTGACCTTGTAGCCAGCTGCCAAACGCGGCATCACGGGACCGCCAGGGCCAAAGCCCAGAGAGGTGGCGCGATTTGCCCATCATCGAACGGTGAGTGAGAGACAGACAGACGGAGGATCTGAGTTTAGGCCTGAGTGCCTGCGACCCCAGGCTTTTAATGGGGAGATGCTCTTGGCTGAACAGGGGAGTGTCTATTGCTGGGCGGCGGGGCATGAATCCCACAGCAGGGGGTGCATGAATTCCACAGGGGTGGTATGTGGCTACGGCTGAGAGGGAAGGACAGTTTCCGCATCCATTTCACAGATGGGAAAACTGAGGCTGGAGTCACATCGCTGAGAGCCAGCAAAATCATGATCTGAGCCCAGGCCCTGACCCGCCTGCGCCCTGCTCTCGGCAGAGGATCTCACGCAGGCTCTTGCTTGTCCCCACTACCTGGTCAGGACTGAGCAGCTGCCTAGGCAGTCTGTCTTCACAATGGCCACCTGCTGCAGAGGGGAAAGCAGGGGACACCTGGCACCTCTTGTATGTGTGTGGGTGGGGGTGGGGGGACCCTACCACCCTCCAAGTTCCGAGGCTGGGGATTTAAAGCACTGACAGGGGAGGGGAAAGGAGATTTTTTTGGGGGAAAGACTTCAAACTATGCCAGAAATCTGATTTGCAAAAATCCTGGGGTTTTACTGAAGAAGCATCATGTTCTGTATATTTGGGGCAAGGTCCCCAATTATTTTTAAAACCCTTCTATGCCCGTTTTCCTTTCTTCTTAAAAATCCGTTATTCTCATTTTTATTGTCTGAAGCAGTGCATCCTGGATGTTCTGAGTCACCTGCCTTGTTACCAAATTGTCTGATCTATTTAGAGGTGTGAAACGTCCCCCCCCCC